TGAAAAGTCCCTTCACATTTTCCACAGAAGGCTCTATATACTTCCTTATCATCTAATGAGACCAGTTATCCTTCAAATATCAACATTTGAAACCAAAAAAATCATTTTATCATTTTTTTTGTTTTGCTAAATCACTAAGATGACAATGTCATTTTCTACTATATTCTTTATTGCCAAAATATTGTATTTCAGTTAAATCACTTTTTCTGCACTGGCCTGGGAGCCTTACCACTACTTATAACATTGGGACTGGAATGAATTTTTCCATAGAAACAACCAACCAATTCACAAGTGAATTTTTGGTACTGTACATTAGGGAAACCTATCCTATCTGTCTTATATTATTCTGTTTTGTGTATGTGTATCTTATTCCTTAATAAGACTATAAACTTGTGGAGAGAAGGAGATAAAAATACATTTTGGTCTCTCCTATATATATGTCATGTAGCATCATGCTGCATCATGCTTTCATCACATACACAGTAGGTTTAGTGAATTTCAACAAAGCACCACTCCCTGTCTATCTCAAAGCAAGGAATTAATTCATTTCATTGAACAGCTGTTTAGTGGGTGTCTACTATTTGCAAGGCATAGTGCTAAGGTGAAAAAGTGAAGTGAAAGTGAAGCACCCTGGCTACCTTAACCTCAATTACTGAGTCATAGAATGTCAGATCTGGAAGCGACCTTAAAGATAATAGAGTCAGAGATGAGACCTATCATTTCATTGGTTTAGAGAATATTCCAAGTGAGGAAACTCTACCAATACAGGTTGGCACCTTCTCTGCAACTTGTCATCTTATAGAGGTGCCTAGTTAAGTGATTGTCTTGGGCTCACACAACCAGGATGTGTCAAATGTAGGACTTGAAGCCACATCTTCCTGGCCTCAAGCTTGGCTCTTTATCCACTATGTCCCTCTGTCTCTGAAATGATGATGATGATTCATATTTATATGGCACTGATCTTACAACAATCCTATTTAAGTATCATTTGTTTCCACTTTATAAATGAGGAAAATAAACCTTAGAACGGTGAAATAATTTTCCCACGATCACACAACTCATATGTGTCAGAGCTAGGCTCTCTCTCCACGTGTCCTGAATTCAAATCCAACACTCTTTCTATACTACATGTCCAACACCCTTATTTACAGTAAAGATACTATAACTCAGAAAAAAAGTGACTGGATCAGAGTCACCTGCTAGCTACCTGGTAGCAGAAGCAAAATTTTCTGACACCAAGTCCAGAACTTTTTCTACCATACAATGAAATAATTTGCATTTGTTCAGTGAATGGTGAATAAATTGATGGAACTGGAAGTTCCAGGATCGGGGGAAGGAGTGTTAAGAAAGGGAGATTATATTTCCCTCTTCTTCTTCCCCAGAGTCAAAAACTTCTTCCTCCTCACTCCTCAAATTTATACTGGTTCTATACAAAAGTGATGGAGATGTAACTATCCTTATTTCCTCATCTTGGAAGTTTTACTAACAAAATAAGCTCCAGGTTTTAGGTGAGGAAGGATATATATGCCATGCCATCCCTGACAAGGTTATTGCATCTAACAGGACAGCAATTTATCCAATTTATAATTGCATTCAAGTGTTTGTGTAGACTGCATTTTAATGGCTGTTTCCAAACTATGTGAAATTCCACCTTTGGACAGAGCCCTTTGATTGGTTACAGATGTATACTTCTGATGCGGAGATAACCACCCTAACACCACTTTATCTCCCTTGAGCAACATTTGAAGTTATTTTGAGGAAGTTCAAGAAAAATAGAATCTGATTTTGGGGAGAGGGAGAGTTGTTCATTACCCTATATTAACTGCTCTTCCATCATACTGACACTTTGGTATTGAGGGTAATATCTAGTTTTGCTGAAAGTGAAATCATATATTCAACTTTCAGGCTGTGTTAGTGAAAATGAACTCTAATGTGATTATATATTAATACAGTGTAATGGGAGACTGGTATGAAATTGAGACCTTCTGATCTTATTACTCTAGGAATGCACCTTTCCGTTCATTGTGCCATGCTGTCAGCCCCACTTTTCTAAGCACAAGCAAAAGCAAGCGTTGCCAAGGTTTGCAGGCATCATAGATACAAAGCTGGAGGGCACTTGAGGGGTCACCTGGTCCAACCTACTCATTTTATAGATGAGGAAACTGAGACCCAGAAAAGGTAAATTACTTGCACTCAATTATAAAGGCAGTCTGGGATTGGAACCCAAGCAGTCTTTGCATTATTCTATGCTCCCTGCGAAATATGGAGAGAGGCCGTGTGGAGCAATAGAAAGAGGACTCTACAATTTGGAACTATGCCCAAAGGGCTGTAAAACTGTGCGTACCCTTTGATTCAGCAATACCACTAGTAGGGCTGTATCCCAAAGAGATTTTTTAAAAGGGAAAGGAACCTGTGTGTACAAAAATATTTACAGCAGCTCTTTTTCTGGTGGCAAAAAATTGGAAATTGAATGGATGCCCGTCAATTGGGGAATGACTGAACAAGTTGTGGTATGTGAATGTACTGAAATACTTTTGTGCTATAAGAAATGATGAGCAGGCAGACTTCAGAAAAATCTGGAAAATTTTACATGAACTGATACCGAGTGAAACGAGCAGAACCAGGAGAACATTGTACATAGTAACTGCAACATTGTGAGATGATCAACTCTGATAGACTTAGCTCTTCTCAGCAATACTATGGTCGAATACAATTCCAAAAGACTCATGATGTGGGAATGCTATCCACATCCAGAGAAAGAACTATGGAGTCTGAATGCAAATCAAAGCATACTATTTTCTCTTTTTTTTCTTTCTCGTGGTTTTCCCCTTTTGTTCTGATTCTTCTTTCACAACATAACTAATGTGAAAATATGTTTAATATGATTGTACATATATAGGGTTATTGTACATAATCCTATATCAGATTGCTTGCTGTCTTGGGGAGTGGAGAGGGGAAGGGAAAAAATTGGAACTCAAAATCTTATAAAAGTGAATGTTGAAAACTATCTTTACATGTAATTGGAAAAAAATAAAATTCTATTAAGTGGTGGGGGGAGGGAAGAAACCTCAACCAAAAAAAAAGAAGAAGAAGAAGATTCTACTGGGAATCAGAAACCTGAGTTCTAGTCCCAGATCTTCCACTCACTAACTGTATGACCTTGAGCAAGTCATTTTATCTCTGCTCCTCAGTTTGCTCATCTCTAAGATTAGGGGGTTTAACAAATCATCTCTTATATCCCTTTCAGCAGTGACGCAATTATTACCTTTACTGCTGGATTCTTTTGGGTAACTGGTAACTGGGTAACTTCTCCTGGATCTGTCAGTAAAGGTCCTTTTCCCACTTTCCCCTTCCCCCCCCACCCCAGTGAGGCTATTTTTCTTCTCCAGTTATGTTGGACTAGCTGAATTCTAAGGCTCCCTTCACCTCTGAAATTTTGTATGTTGAGTCTCTTAATGGATTGAACCAAGTGATCGTCAAAAGCCTTTTTCATTTATATCTGTCTGTTAGCTGGCTCCATAATAGAAAGTTAGAGAAGTGTTCCATGATCATTTCAGTTCATGTTTTTAGTGTTTACAGGTTCTTTGGGGAATGTAATGGGACACAGGTTCAAGAGGAAGGCTGCTCATTGCTGTAGAATGAGCCTCACAGACTTTCCCTGACATCATTTGGAGGTGGCCATTTATTGTAAATCCAATGAATTTGGTTGATATGGAGCTCTGTGGATGCATGTTTGAACCCCACACGGTTCTGTTAGTTTCATTCTATTCCATCCATGGCCACAAATAGTAGTTACATAGGAGACCAGGCAAAGGACCACATCCCATAAGACACATATTCTATGGATGATAAAATAGCATCATCTTCACATATGAACAAGAGAAATTTTGTTACGATGATGTCCTGTGTTCAGAACCGTGGATTTCACACTTAGGGTGCTCATAGCTATAATGACCTTCAGGGGACCAGTATCCAGGCACTAATGACTTAATCTGGAGAGATGTTTACAGTGAAAGATGAAACAACTGAAACTGAAATAGGGGATTCCCACTCCCACCCCCCCATGAATAAATGTATTTTCTTTTGTAGCATTATTTTATAATCAGACAGTTACAGAAAACAACTTCCCAGCAGCTGGCAGTTCTACTGTGTAAGCAGAGGAGGACTGCAGCAACTGTGAACCCTTTCCATTTCCAACAGAAAACATTATCAGAGTCCTACAGTTGTGGGGGCCACCCTTTCTTCCAGTGTATGCTGATGAGAAACAGGCTGTGGAGCCAGAATTAATGAAGAATGTAAGGAAGATGTTTGTGTAGAATTCACACTGTGGGATTTTAAGCAGATGGTCAACCCGATCCTGTACCATCTCACATTACTCTCTTTAAAATGTTAGTTACTCTCACAGACCACCTAGAAACTGGCAAGTCCTCAGAGAGTGGGGGGAGGGAGGCAGCAGGAAAGGCAAATATTTGCTTTTCCAGTCCATTGAGAAGAGTATCTTGGTTCCTGGTGAAATTCTTTCTGTTCTTAGGTGCTGTGATTGTCACACTTTACTTGAAATCTTTGTGTTGTTGGCCACGTGACATGTCGACCTTAGAGACGGTTTCCTAGATGGCAGTGAATAAATTACAGCCTCACAAGGGCAGGGCCTCTTTCTCCCCTTCCTCTCCCCTGACTCATGTTCCTGCTGCTCTTTAGAAATCTTACTCAGCGCTCTCCTGCTCCAGGAACCCTTTCCTGCTTAACCTTCACCTTTTTGCATACAGTCTGAGCCATATTTATTCATGCTCGCTTATAAATTGTTTTGTAAGACTTTACTTATATGTTGTGTAGGCTCCCTGAATAGAGAAACCATATCTAGACACCCTCCCCCCCAACCCCCTGGGTAAAGAATGTCTTTAATCTTCGGCATTTCCATATCGCCCAGTCCAGAGACACAAATTAGTGGTGTTAACTTCTGGTCTGGTTAACCTGGCATATCCCTGTGCTTTCTTTCACAGATCCTGGCAATCAATAACTTTTGATAAACAGCCTGCATCCTTTATCCGAATAGTTGGAACACACAACACAGCAAATGAGGTAAGGATCTCCCCTCATGAAAGACAGTGTGATATTTCTTCATATGAAAGTAAGTATATGACTCTTGGTTCTACTGATAGCCTTTTGTTGGGATTGCTTATTGTAGAAAATAGTCTTATATGAACACAGTGAGAATATCATCATTTGGTATCATTTCTGAGTGTCTTCCCTGGCAAAGGAAAATCAGTCCTTATTGCTTATTCCTGATTCCTTCTCTGTTGTGTTTAGGGGTTGAGAGGGACCTGGAGAAAAGGTGAATGAATGAAAAATAAACATTTATCAAGTTCTTATTGCATGCCCAGCACTATACTAAGCACTGAGGATAGAAGTACAAGTGAGACAGTCCTTGCCCTCAAGAAGCTTATTTATAAGGAAGGAACTGGTACACACAGGGGAATGGTAACCAGACAAAGTGTGTTTTGGTCTCAGAAGTCACAGGGATAGTGATTGGAGCAATAGCATAGTCAGTTAACACATCTTTAGCCAGACGCTGGTAATATTGATGAATATCCCTAAAACAAGAGACAGCCTGAAGGGGTATGCCTGCAGTGGCAGGGCTAATGCCAAAAAGGTGGCCAGGATACAGCTTGTCAAGTAGAGGACTGGCTGCACATAGTAGGTCACACAAGCCATCTATCCACTTAACTCTGAGCAAGAGTTCCTTTCCAGGGACCTTCTCAGCCCTTTCTAGAAAGGCTTACAGGTTTAATAGCTCTGTTGATACTTTCCCATAATTGTATTCCACAGTTAAAACAGAGGTTATTAACCTTTTTAATGTTATGGACCCCTTTGCCAACCTGATGGAAGTCTGTGAGGACCCCTTCTCAGAATATTCTACAAATACATAAAATAAAATACAATTACAAGAATCCGATTATGTTAAAGGAAAGTTATTAAAATACTAAAAGTTTGTGTTCTCAGACCCCTTGAAATTTATCCAAAGATCCTTGGGGGTCCCCAGGTTAAGAACCCCTGATTTAAAGGAATTTCAGCTGCAAAGGTGATATGGCCATTTGTCCCTTGAGTATATCTTTACCAAAGGGAGTACCTGGTTGAGTCTAGGCAGGACTCATGTTCTCACTAAAAAATCACTTGCTTCCAAGCATCTTTTGCTTCCTCTAGTAGTCTGTGGACCTGCTTAGTTCCTCAACGAACCAGAGTCCCTGCTATATAGCACACAAAATCAATCCAGCTGGAAATAATATAAGTGCCTACTTCTCTATTATTAATGTATAAATGAATGACTGGTGGTGGGCCACATTGATCTCCAATTTGTGGTGTCATACAAACTCCCTAGATGGGGGCAGCTTGATGTTGCAGTGGATAGAATGTCAGGCCTAGAGTTAGGAAGACTCCTCTTCCAGAGTTCAGATCTCTCCTCAGATATTTAGTAGCTGTGTGACCCTGTTTGCCTTAGTTTCTTCATCTGTAAAATGAACTGGAGAAAGAAATGGCAGACCACTCCAGTATTTTTGCCAAGAAAACTCCCAGAAAAGTCACAAAGAGACATGACTGAAAAATGACTAAACAGCACACACTTCCTAGGCTGGCTCACATGAGCAAAGCAAGAATAAGGACTTTTGCCTCGGGGTCTCTGATTTTCTCTGAAAATGAAGGAATTCCATGCAGAAACTGTCCCTGGGCAGGTTAGCATAATTGGTTTCCTTGGAGAAGAAGAAAAGGATTGCCACAAAAAGAACGCTTTCAACAGACGTCAAATATTGATGTGTTTAGGCAGGGTCGGGTACTGGAGGCAAGGGGAAGAAGACCCCTTTGAATCATAGACTTTTCATATTTTAGAGCTAGAAAAGATCCTCAGTATCATCTGGTCCACCCCTCTTTACACATGAGGAAACTGGAGCTTACAAGGATGAAGCAATTTGCTTCCCCTCCCCCCAGATACGCACCTCAAGCTGCTTAAAACTAAATTGAAAGCATGTGCAAAATAAGGCATATGGAGGCTAGGCTGGATTCTGAGAGGTACCTGGCTTACAGGTTTTGCCCTCCTTCTGGTGGGGCAGCAAGTAGAACAAAAGCTCCTGTTCAATAAATTGTCACTCTGTGCTGCTGGTGCTGCTGCCACTGTTAAGCAAACCCAAGGTGGTGGGATGGCATTCATTGTAGGTGCTGGAAAGAAAACAGGAAACTACAGGGAAAGGAATCAAGAATGTAAAGTTTTAAAATATTTTCTGGGACTCAACATAATTTATCATTTGGCATACTAGTTTTTCCTCAAGGTTGAGGGTCCAGGATCTTTCTGCCCCTGGGGAATCTTTCCCAAAGGACATCCAGGAAATGTGTCCCAGATCTCCTTGGATTCAGCTGTCTCCCAGGGGTGACCGTTTTGAACTGGTTGGTCACTAATCAATTAACTTCAGCCAAATGGGTAGTTGTGTCATTTTGTCAATCTCTTGGAGTTGTTCTTGCTTATGGCAAATGTTTCTAATGTAGATTTATTCTTATAAGGCAAAAACACCCTTAAACCACAAAACAAATAACAACCTCATTAGGCAAGATACACAAATGATTGTCAATCCAAATGTTTCCCTTAAAGCAGAAAAGGAAATACAGGCTTATTTGTTAAATTTTCTTAGTCAGTAAGTAAGCACATCCTTAGAATGCACATTGGGGAGCTAGAACAGCACTTCGAAAGAATAGTCAGTCTCTGCCCTCAAATGGCTTATAGTCTAACGGGACAGAGAACACAGCAGAAACGTGCATATATGAACATTATAATCACCAAAAACAAGTTGAGAGTGGGAAACTGATAATAAATTGATTGGATTGGAGAATAGTTGTGGCTAGAAACGAAATTTTTCCTAGAGTAGAAATCCGTGGCATGAAGTTTAGAGGAGAGAAAGGATGTGATGGAAAAGAAAAAGTTGACTATTTATTGTGTTAAGTGACAGCCTTTAGAGAAGGTTTGAGAAGCTGTGAAATGGAGATTACAAAAACACAGATTATCAAGACAAGGATGTATTACTAGGACATAGAGTCTTTAGACTGAGAGAAAACCAGGACAAATACATAGCAGCCACAAGAATGCCATGAAGGCCTCTACCCTCTTCCTTATAATGCTCTTGTCATCAAAATGCTGTGGATTCACAGGTGGAAATTTGGAAGAAGCCTCTCCATGGAGGCTCCCTGCCTACCCCTTGGAAGCCCCTGAGATCTTACAGTAATTATATCCATCCAGGGTCATTAAGCATGATAGAAGAAGACCATAGGGATCCCCATTATTATGTATTTGTGTAGGTAAATATAAGTAAAGGGGGGGAGGGGACATTGGGATCAGAATCTTGTGGCTTGAAGCTTAGTCCTTGAGAAAAGATGAGAAGCTGCACCTCCATCCTTTAGTTGAGGAGGTGGAGGACTAGGGGTGTGGATTGTGGTATATGAAATGAATGTGTCACAAAGGACATTAGTAAAATTTTAAAAGAAAAAAATTGTTGTAGATTCCCTGTCTCCATTTTTCTCTGCTGTGAAAGTGAAAGAGGATGGGGCATCTGTTTTAGTCAGTTACATTCAGCATAATATCTCATTTTGGAAATTGACTTTTTGCTTACTAGTTACAGCTTTTTGAAGATCTTATGAAAATTCATAGATTCTAGATAGAGATAGAGCTATAGATAATGTTGGTTCTTAAAACCTAGTGCTTGTTGCCCGTATGCGAACAGGCTCGGTAGAAATAGACATTTGTGTGAATCAGCTCAGTAGTTACCTCCAACCCAAGCAAGATTCCTGTTTTCTCTAAGTCCTACCTTCTCTAGTCTGAGGAAGGACCAGGACCTGTGAATGTAGGAAAAAATATGACTTGAGAAGTATTTGTGATTTGGGCATCTAGGTGGTACAGTGGATAGAGTGATAGATAGATGAGAAGACTCACCTTCCCCAGTTTAAATCTGGCCTCAGACATATGCTAGCTGTGTGACTCTGGACAAGTCACTTTACCCTGTTTTCCTCAGTTTCCTCATCTATAAAATGAGCTGGAGGAAAAAATGGCAAACTACTCCAGTATCTTTGCCAAGAAAACCCAAATTTGTGAGTTAAAAAGGCATCTATGAATTTAGAACTTAAACGCATCTGCAGGAGGTGGGGAATGAATTGTGTAAAATGGGACCACTGCAATTGATTGATTGATTGATTGATTGGCTATTAAGAGACTGTAGTCTTATAAAGCTATAGGCCAAGTCATTTGGAAGATGTATGTGTCACTGATGAAGAATTTCCCCAACTTCCAGGCGTTCCTTTTGGATTTGTAGCATAGTAAAGGACAGGACAGAACTGCCTCCTGAAAAGGAGAGAAGCTTCTGGGATTGAAAATGCCACTGATTCTGCCTTGTTGGTAATGTCTTGTCTCTCTCTCCCTGATCTGGCAGGCCTAACCACAGCTACAAAGTTTGAAATGTGTCTGCTGCATGCTAAATTTTCCATTTCCCTTAGAATGTAAGCAGGACCTTAGGCAGCTGAAGCTTTGTCAACCTGTAGAGGTTCGGGTTTCTTAATCACCAGTCCTGACACACTCCTGATTTCCTGTAGCATTTGTCCTTGTCCTTTGGGAAGTTTGTGTCTGCTTCTGGCATCTGCCTCTCATCTTCACTTTGTGAATGTTGAGGCAAAGGATTCATTTAAGTGTGTTTTTTTCTTTTTTTTAAAGGTGCTTACTACTTCTGTCAATAAAGCTCCCTAATGCTTATCTCTTAAGGGCTTCATGCCTCATTCGGTGACCTCCAGTTCTTTGTGTATTTAGTCAAATCCTTATTGTTTATCTTAACTTCTTAAGAAATTTTGTTTTTTCTTTCCCTCCTGTGTTTATTCCTCTCATCCTACACTCCCCTCCTCATTTGCTCTGTAATCTCTTGTGCTTGATGTCTCTCTCAAGTCCCTCTCCTTCATCCTTAGATTCTTTTTGCATCACATTCCTTGCCCATTTGCAGCATTCCACCTCAAGCAATAAGTGAAAAAATATTTCTTTCTCTTTCACTTATCACTAGGTGTCA